AATGATTAGATTCTCTGATTCGGTAACTAATTAATTACCTAACTATACTGTAATTTGGCCAATCGTTATGCTCCCGTGTCCACCATGCGGTACATTCATAATGGACACGTTGTACATTCATAATGGACGGCAACAACAAGCAATAGTTTTCCCCAATTTTCGGCGACCTTACCCCCTCCGTTCCCAGCAGTAACAGTCCGGCGTTCCCCTCCAACCTTCATCTTCTTGCGGCGACGGCGGAGCTTTTTTGGAAGCAACGGGTGCTTGGACAGGTGGTGAACCTCCCGTGAACTCCCTCTTTCCCCTCATCTGTTCCGGCGATCTGGGCAGAAGGTGGAGCTCCTCCATTTGGCGGACGGCGACGACAAACGCATCAACTCTCCGGCGAGACGGCAACTCCGGCAGCAGTTCTCTCCCCTCCTTGTTCCGGCAGTGGATGCTTGGGAGTGACGGCATGGCTTGGAACCTTTGGGTAAGGCTTCTCCTATCAACAGAGCTTGTGTATGTTGATGTTCTATTATGTTGCTTTTGTTGAGGTCTTAATAGTTAATGTATGTTGGTAGTATGAATCTACACTATAGACATTATGAATGTACATCGTGTCTACCATACACATGATAAACACGGATTCAGAGCATAATTGGCCATATTTGGCTATTACTTCTTGAAATTAAAGCGAATATGAGAATTTACACGATTATGATGTTGGGCAGGTAGATCATTTCGCGTTTGGTTCGTGAAACAAATAAATATATTAAACAAATAAGTAAATGAATAAATAAGAATATACACATGATTGCATATATATATATATATATATATATATATATATTTATAGAGGCCCAGTCCATAGGCCACTGTGAAAGGCCTGGCCTATATTCATCCCTAATGATATAACATTATCATACATTACCTAAATAATATTAGATGACTTAAACCAAATATTTGCTGAGGGCGTTAGGTAGGGAGGAAAGTTCAAACTTTCTTAGCAATTTAAGAAGTGAAAAATTATTCTCACGTTTGGTTCAATCTTTGACTTAGGACAATTTAAGTCAATGTGAATTTAATTTCATGGGCAAAAACTTATGTGGAAAAGTCGAATCAAGATGAAAAGTAATAATTATACTAGCAAATTAAATGTAATACTAAATGAAAACTAGAATGCTTATTACTTAAATAGAAAAATTAATGTAATACTTTACATCAAAATATAAAAGTATTACATTTTCTCGTAACAAATATTTTTTTCTCAGAAAGTACCAAACGTCCCCTTAAGGTAATGGTTTGGCTATTAAGGTAATTAGACCAATATGCAAATTTAATTTGGTCATTTATAACATTTTCTTCTTCCAAAAAAGTTGAATCCTCAATCCCAAGAGTGTCATACCCAACACGATATTATCTATATAATCATCCGTAATAAGAAAAAAAATTTTACTCTTTTTGCATTTACTTCATCACGTACTCTTATAACTACTACAAGTGTAATAATTTTCGACAGCAGGCCAGAACGTACACAGTGGTCTAATTACCTTAATAGCCATTAGACCACTAGTAGCATTCAAAAAAAAATATATCAATTTACTAATCTCGTAGAATTTTCAACCCGATCACCTTTGGCTCACCATATTTGACGTGATTTTTATTGATAAAAATATGATGTTGATGTAAACCCATCCGCACAATCAGCTCATTTACTAATCAACCTTAACTGCAAGTTAAAAGGAATTATTTTTTGGAGAAAACAGTTACCTGGAGATTTAAGAATAACAAATTATATCAGCAATTATACTGTGGAGACCATGGTCCAAAACAATAGACACTATCGTGTATCTAAATTGTATTATTTTTATTATATTATCAAATGAAACTGCAATTGAATTGAAATGAAACTGCAGTATATACAAAATGAAATTGAATAACAATTTCACATATTTAAGTGCATATTGTTCAGTGAAACGGTAGTATAGTTATATCAAAATGATACTGTAGTTGTGTTGAAATGAAACTGCAGTGCATATTTGATGCATGGACCACAATGCATTGTGGATCGCGGTCCACAGTATAATTTGCCCAATATAATATACCCGGCCTCCTGGTCGCAGATTCATCTGGCCGGGGATCATCGGATTGCACCTATAAATAGGAAAGCATGAATGAAATGTTAGATCTAAATAGTCTAATTATACTGAATATTAGTATACGAGAGATCTGACCTCGTATGAGCGGAAGCGATAGCCGTGTTGAGGTTTTTTTTTTAGTTACCAGATAAATCCATAGCTACTACTCTACGGCGTGCACTATATTGTTAAATTATATTTTGTAACCCTAGTCGTAAAGAATCACAAGTAGTTAAATCAACCTAGGTTATAATCAAGAAAACCAATAGACAGCTCCGTTGAGAGTTGAACTTGTAATTAACCTTCTGGTTACTTAATCGATAGTCTAAACAACTTAGCCGTCGTCCCAATTCTATGGTATTTGGGGACTAGAAATATTTTGAGATAGTATGGCACATAATAAAGTTGCATTAAACTCCAGCATATCATAATTTAATTTGTAATGATTTTGTTTATCTGTGGTATCATGCGGGGAATTGTCGGTTGCAGAACCCTTGACAGCAACTGATTTTTCATCCACTCCTAAATCCTAATGATGGTTCAAAAGTCAAGGTTGCTTATCAGCTATATACTATATACATATCCACCTATATGCTCACTGGCAACCCGTGTTCTTATAATTTCTGCATGCATGCAATTCATGGTTGTCTTGAAAATGTTATCCAGACGTACATGTTTTTTTCTGTGGCAATGATAAGGGATTCCTGGTGCGCATAGTGAGGCTGCTGCACTTAAAGCATACCCAAAGTGTGAGACGACTGTCCCATGTGACCAGTTTGAGGCTGCATTTAAGGTTTGTTGTGTTTAAATTAATGTCTGTTTTTCAATGAGTTTTGAGGAATGTGATAGTTCCATATTGCATTGCTTTCCTCGTTTAGGCAGTTTAACTATGGTTAGTGGACAAAGCAGTGCTTCCCATTGAGAACTCTGTAGGCGGTAGCATCCATCGTAACTATGATTTGCTTCTTCTCCATAGCCTGTGTTGGGAGTTCAGCCCTGCTCGATTCTAGACGTGACGCTGTGGCTTACCATAGAGGGATGACAGTCGTCGTAAAAGTAAGTTCAAGATTTATTCGTGTTCGTGGATAGTGTTCATTGAAAACGCATAAATCCAACGGTATGAGCTTATCGTTGGTTACATATCTTGCAAGATGACACCAAGTTGCATATACATGCGATCCTGTGAGCAGATTTTCACTGGACCAGTGCAGAAATGTGAACGAAATTAGTGCAATAATGTTATAAATGTTATAAATAATCCTGTATTGTGGGTCAAAAATGTTATAAATAATCCTACCAAAGAAGACTGAATCTGATGCATTATGGCGACAGATCCCATTAAGAACCATACTTTTGCAATTTGCATTATGGAACACAGATTCCGATCAAGACTGCCAATAACGCGGACGCCTGCAAATTCAAACCGCCCTTTGTCTCTTCAACACATCAGAAGACACCTTCTTTTTTTTTTTAATAATTTAATTAATTAATTAACTTTTGGTTGATTCATTTATCGTGAACGGCATTATATTAACGAAAAATCATAGTTTTTTTTTGTGACAAATTATGCTTGAAGTGACATTTTATAGTGAATTAGTATTTTTGTTGGTAAATACAAAAATATAATTAGAAAGTGTAAAATGACAGTAATGGAAGAATCAAAAGATTCTTGGTCCCTTGAGGTAAGCCAAGAAGGATGTGCATTAAGTTTAGTATAAAGTCCACCCCTCTTTGATTTACAGAAAAGTTTATAAAAATGTGAACTCTAGGTGAAACTCAACTTGTGGCTCTAGCCGTAAATAATCACAAATAGATAATCTCGTTTAGGTTGTAATATATATATATTTTTTTTTTGGGTAATGAGAAAAACTTGCAATCATTGTTTGAGAATGCGAATGGGGTAATAATAAAATTGTCTCCTCCTATGTAATAGTCCACATGCATATAACAATGAGAGATAAATTACATTAAGAAGATCATATCTTATGCGACAAACTTGACCGAGAGAGTGTTAGCAATAATCAAACTTTTGATTCTCATATACAAAACAATGTTCACTTCTTTTTGCATGATTTACAAGAAAACCTACAATTATTACCCAAATATGCTTTATGAGTGAAGTTTGAATTATGATCTTAGCTAACAAAAAAATCACAAAAAGATAAATAAGCTTAGATTATTAATAGATTAATAAGGACTAACTTTTTATTTGTTTTGAAAGACCCTCTCCCAACAATTATTGATAAATGTCATTGCATAGCTAAGCATAAATTCGTGGCGGCTGTAGATGATAGGGAAAGCCATGACAATTACGTAAATTTCCACCTGCGCCACACAAATATCTCTTTGCTTTCCAACCTCAATATAATATTTCCCCTTTCATTATATCCTAATTCCTAACACATTTTACAATACAATTTTCTTACGTTTTAATTAACCATTGAATATTCAACAACTATTTCTGTTCAAGAAACGGCTAAAGATAAACACAATTCCTGATCTGATATATTAACCCTCAGAAAAAAGCATAAATTTTTACAGTATAGTGAAATACAATAAAATTATTTTTTAAATAATTTAATATTGAATTATGTGATTAAAACTTGCTATAAATGTAATTATTATGGGAAATAAATAAAAGCCGTACATAGGAACATCCTAAACCTTTGACTGGTTTGAAATAAGTGAGGGCTTCCAGCCTTATATTTCGTCTCTCTTTCTCGGAATCTCTCCTGCCCGCCACACGACCGTAAGCGCTGACATCTATCCAATCATCTCGCGCCACGTCACGCTACCCTCAAATCCGAAATCACGTCCAGGTTCAATGAACCTAAAAGGCCGCCTTCTCTTCAGGGATTTCTTCCTCTCTTTATATCTCTCCTTAGCGGAACACTCTGCAGAGACACACATAGTTTCAGAATTCGTATAACTTAGAAGGAGAATTAGGGGAATTCTTTTGTTCTTTCTGTGAAATTTTTGCTGAGCTTCGGAAATGGCGTTGGCTTTCAGTTCCTCGGCCACAATTCGCGGTTCGATTTCTGAACAGAACAAAGGTACCCGCTTTCTATATTTGAATCAAGGTTGGATTTTTGGGTGATTTGAAAACCGGGTCTAGGTTTTCTTGATTCAAATTTTGCTAATTTGGTTGTGTATTTTGCAGTCCCGCAAATGGGATATTTTCAGCCGTTGGATCGGGCGTATCATCAGCCGACGGCGGTGGGCTTTTCTCGTAGGCATTCCGATGTGAAGCCGTTGAATGCTGAGCCACGGCGCAACGAGGCGGTTGTCGCCGCCGCAGCAACCGTTGCTGCACCTGGTACGTTTAGTTTCGTTTTGAATGGTCTATATACTCTGTATTTGCGAGCCTGGGAGATTAGAAATGACTGATTTACCCTTTGGTATGCGGTGAAATTGCAGAGACTGCTGAGAAAGTAGAGGCAGAGGATTATGAGAAATTGGCTAAGCAGCTTGAAAATGCTTCCCCACTTGAGATTATAGATAAGGCCCTCGAGAAATTTGGGGATGATATTGCTATTGCTTTCAGGTAATTACAGTACAAAGTAGTAAGGATCATTTTAGATGTGTTTTTTTTCCTGTCATGTCTGTTTTTATGGTACCAATTGTTGATGTGATGATGTTATGTAAGCTCTTTCTGGAATTGATTGTTTTAAGTGCTTAATTGCTTATCTCACCAACCATCGTATGGTTATTTGAAGGGATAACCAATGATTTGTTATGGACTTTAATCATTTATGGAAACTGTGTAATTATACCTTAAATTTAAGATAATCAGTTGAGTTTACAGATGCATTTGGTGATTTCTATGTGCATATGTCTATCTTTTGATTCAAGGGTTGTCTGAGAGTTTTAGGGTTCTATACTGATTGGTGAAGAATTTTTAAAGCTCTTTTCTTTTTTGCTTAAATGAGGATGGGTTCTGAGAATATTTGCTTTTTACAGTGGTGCAGAAGATGTTGCTTTGATTGAGTATGCACGCCTAACTGGTAGACCATTTAGGGTGTTCAGTCTTGATACCGGAAGGTTGAATCCGGAGACGTATCAGTTCTTTGATGCAGTTGAGAAACATTATGACATTCGCATCGAGTACATGTTTCCTGATGCTGTTGAGGTTCAGGGTTTAGTTAGGAGCAAGGGGCTTTTCTCGTTTTACGAGGATGGTCACCAGGAGTGCTGCCGTGTGAGGAAGGTGAGGCCGTTGAGGAGGGCGCTAAAGGGGTTACGTGCCTGGATCACTGGGCAACGCAAAGATCAATCCCCCGGGACTCGATCTGAAATCCCGGTTGTGCAAGTCGACCCAGCGTTTGAGGGGCTGGATGGCGGGGCTGGCAGCTTGGTGAAGTGGAACCCGGTGGCTAATGTAAATGGCACGGACATTTGGAGCTTCCTTAGAGCCATGAATGTGCCCGTGAATTCGTTGCACTCTCAAGGTTACATCTCGATCGGGTGTGAGCCCTGCACGAGGGCCGTCTTACCTGGCCAACACGAGAGAGAAGGAAGGTGGTGGTGGGAAGACGCAAAGGCCAAAGAATGTGGTCTGCACAAAGGCAACCTCAAGGACGAAAGCTCGAATGGCAATGGGAATGGCGGTGTCCACACAAACGGTGCTGCTGCCGTTGAAGCAGACATTTTCGAGACCCAAAACATCGTGACCTTAAACAGGCCTGGAATCGAGAACATGTTGAAAACCGAAGACAGGAAGGAGCCTTGGCTCGTGGTTCTTTACGCCCCCTGGTGCCAGTTCTGCCAGGTAGTTGCTCCACCATTAACCAACCATACTTCATTTCCATCAAACACCGAACTAATAATCATATATAACCTTTTGCAGGGCATGGAAGAATCATACGTTCAACTGGCAGAGAATTTGGCTGGTTCAGGCGTGAAGGTTGGAAAGTTCAGGGCAGACGGGGACCAGAAAGAATTTGCAAAGCAAGAATTGCAGCTAGGCAGCTTCCCCACAATCCTTTTCTTCCCCAAACATTCATCGCGGGCTATCAAGTATCCATCCGAGAAGAGGGATGTAGACTCATTACTGGCTTTCGTGAATGCATTACGGTGATCGAATTGCCTTTGCAAAGTGTAGCATAGAGGAGAGGGATTGAAGGAGGAGTTATTGTAGAACGTCGTCGAGGGGTGCATCGCCATTCACCACATACCCCCATTACAAAGTAGTGTTGTATATGTAGTGTTGGAGCTTGTTTGGTCAGGCTGGAACTTTGTTAAGAAAGATCTACTTTGGAATAAACCTCTATATAGAGTTTAATGGAAAAGTTTGATGGTTAAAATGAGTGTAGTATAAAGGAGGTTTATTGAAGTATGATTGATGGTTGATATAATCAACTTCTCTTAGAAACAACATATATAACGTACTTTTGAAGGCTATTTTGATGTTTCAGATACATACATTCACTAATCAACTTTTAAGAACTGTAAATTTATAGCACAGCGGTAAGTTTGAAGGCAAGTGGAGGAGAGATTTTAATAATGCATATAGGTTAGGAGATAAGGCAAGGTGGGTTCAATTGAATATTGTAGAGCGGTGGGAGATAAAGGCAGGATGACTTAAGTTATTTATGATTGTGCGAAACCAAAAAAAAAAAAAAAAAAAAAAAACAATGCTACGTTTTAAGACTACATCACTTAAAAAAGACGTTTTGAGTTAAACCTTGATCCACAATATAACTTTCAAAATGCAGGCAAATTATTCTGTGGCCTGGTCCACCTTAAGGTGGACTTGAGTTCAAAAATACACAATTTATATATTGAATGTTTACAATTTACCTACTAAATGAATTGTAAACATTCAGTATATAAATTGTGTATTTTGACCCGAGTCCACTTTACAAAGTGGATTTGGATCCATGGCATAATTGTTGCAAAATGCAACCTCAAGATGAGATAAATTTTTGAAGGTTCAAATTGGGCTCCCACATATGGTAGCTTGTATATAGAGTTATAGACCACCTTGGGTATCCCAAAAAAATTGGGCTCCCACAAAAAAAAATGAAATGGACCTACAAAGACCAATCACCAAGCCCATAACATCATGAGAAGGTACAACCATTTTTTTTTAATTACTACTAGGGCTGTTATAATGCAGCATTTGTTCAAAACTATTTTTTTTTAACATATTAAAGCATAAAGAATTAATACGGTTTCCGCCTCTACTAAGGCTCACTCACAACCTCCCATATGGAAAAGTAGTTTAGTGTCACTAGATTATAAGATCATAAGAAGATAAAACTAGTTAGAATCCCACATGCAGTAAAATGACACATGCCCCCGACAAAATTTGTCTACTTTCTAAATTACAACCAAGAATATTTATGATTTTGGCCTTATTTGGTAATATAGTTAGCTTGTTTAACCATTATTTAATATTTGACTTGATTAAACAACTAATATGAGTGTTTGATTAATTAACTTTTTGTAACAATTTATTACTCTAAAACGTTAAAATTTAAAAAGTTACTCAAAATAATTTTTTGAGAAAATTATTTTACATGTAATCAACTATCAACTAACATTTAATTTATCAAATATTTTTCTACAATCAACTCATTCTATTAACTAATAAAATCCATCAATCCAATCAACTAAAAACTATCCGATAATAACTATTTACCAAACACCTTTCATAATTTGCACCACAAGGTTGAACTGCCCCTCCGGTTCGAGTGTGCGTGTCTGCTTCTCTGTCGTGTTTGGTTCAGTTCTGTTACTCAATGAAAGCACCTGCATTTCCAACCACATGTGCTAACTGCTAAGGGCAGTCAGGTCATTTCACCAAACCCCAACGTCCATCTCTGAATTCCAGCCTGGAATTCAATGCTTCACAGACTCATCCCCTGAGCCCCCACGGCCCCACCCACACATACTTCCAGAATTGGCCCCAATTATTTTTACAATTACTATTCAAACTTTCTGCACCCAACTCATCATGCAAAAAGCGTCCGAAAAGGAATAGAATATGATGGGTATCCCCATTCAAGATGTCTAAAAAGACATATAAATTTGAAATCAAGTTTACAAGTTTGAATTGAGTGTTTTTAGTTTCAACCGATTAGTTATGAATAACTTAAACTGATTTACCTTATTGTAGTTATTTATAGCTAAGATCACAAAGTGAAATAGGTTAAAGTACCTACGAGATCCTTGTATTATAGCTTTTTGTTCAATTTAGTCCTTATACTTTTATTTTGTTCAATTTAATCCTTGTATTTTCAAAAATGGTGCAATTAAGGACAATAGTTAACAATTTTCAAAAAAAAAAAAGGACAATAGTTAACAATGTTAATATTATCGTTAGCTTAGGTTACGTGACGCTGATGATATTTATATTCCTACTCATATATTACTTTATAAATATTTAAAAAAATTTATTTTTACCACCAATATATTAAATTAGTATGTCCAAAATAAATAATTACGACCATGTTCGTAATGAGATTTGGACAATTATCCTTAGTTTTATCACTTTTTAAAGTAAAGGGACTAAATTGAACAGAATAAATGTACAAGGACTAAATTGAACAAAACACTATAATACAGCGACTTTATAAGTACTTTGACCAGTGAAATATCATCAATATAATGATAAGTTCTATTTTTGACAATATCAACAATCAAGTCCGTTGTATAAAATACTTGAATACTTTTTTAAAGTTTATTAAATATACACTTTCAATTAGTAAAAATAAAATTTTTTGTCACTAAAAAAAAACATGTCACTTTTTTATTCTTTCCCTCCTTATTCTCCTGTCGGTCCTTGGGGTCATTTTAGTCATTTAACTGCATGCAACTAAAAATACAACCACCATTTTTGCTAATTAACTATAACTTCAATAACCAATTCAATTTTTTTTTACTAATCCAGTTATACCAAATTTATATTAATTTTACAGTAGTAAAAATATTGGATACTATACATTAAAAAAATTTCTTTTCTTTTGATTGCAGAATTTTTTTAAAAGAATAATGAAAAAGATTTAAACTTTTTTAACATTATAAAGTTGTTGACAGTTTTAAAAAGAATATTTGGATACTGGAAAGTTTTGAACATTTTAAAGATGTTATTTTTACAAGTAATCATAATTACTTCTTTTGCTACTTTCACCTCACTTCATTAATGCTTCCTTCTTCTTCCTCTAGTGCTGAAAGTCCTGTTATCTTTCATCTCTAAACAACAGAAGTTTCCCAATATAGTATGCAAACCCAGAACCAGATGATGATACAAGAAAACCTCAAACCTCTCCTTAATGGCAAAATCTAAGCACACCCTTTGCTTCTTCCACTTTCTCATCATCACCATTTTCCTCGTTTCCTCCGCCACTTCAAGTTCAAATCTTTTTCCAGGTACTCCCATTTGCTACAATACTTGTATTTCCAGTTTCTGGTGTGCTGTTTTTGTTCAAAGTTTCAATCTTTTCTGAATGTGTTGCAGAGAAAAAGGTTCAACAAGGTGAAGAAGAGCCGTATGTTGGGGTGAACATTGGCACAGATGTGAAGGACTTTCTGTCTCCAGCTGACTTAGTTTCTTTCCTGCAGTTGCAAAAGGTAACCCACATAAGGCTATACGATGCTGACCCAGAAATTCTCAAGGCACTTTCCAAGTCCAAGATTAGAGTTATTGTTAGTGTGCCCAACAATCAGCTTCTGGCCATAGGGTCCTCCAACGCCACGGCGGCGGCTTGGGTTGGCCGGAATGTGGCTGCTTATTACCCGGAGACACTCATCACAGCCATTGCAGTTGGGGATGAAGTGTTGACCACTGTCCCCAGTTCAGTCCCTCTGCTAATGTCTGCCATTGAATCTCTGTACAGTGCTTTGGTGGCTTCAAATTTGCATACCCAGATCAAGATTTCAACCCCCAGTGCTGCTTCCATTATCTTGGACCCATTCCCACCTTCCCAAGCCTTCTTCAACCAGTCTCTCACCCCAGTTATTTCCCAATTGCTCAAGTTCTTGTCTAGAACTCAGTCTCCTTTGATGATGAATTTATATCCTTACTATGTATTTATGGAGAACAAGGGGGTTGTTCCTCTTGATAATTCTCTTTTCAAGCCCTTGACGCCTTCCAAAGAAATGGTGGATCCTAATACTTTGCTGCACTATACCAATGTGCTTGATGCTATGATTGATTCTGTGTATTTTTCTATGAAGAATCTGAATGTTACAGATGTTGTGGTTCTGGTTACTGAGACTGGGTGGCCTTCCAAGGGTGATTCTAAGGAGCCCTATGCTACAATTGATAATGCCGATACTTATAATTCAAATATGATTAAGCATATTTATGATCGAACTGGGTCGCCTTTGCATCCGGAAATTACTTCCAGTGTGTACATATATGAGCTGTTCAATGAGGACTTGAGGTCACCACCGCTATCTGAGGCTAATTGGGGATTGTTTTATGGAAATTCAACTCCAGTTTACTTGCTTCATGTGTCTGGCAGTGGTACATTCTTGGCTAATGATACAACTAACCAAACCTATTGCATAGCCATGGATGGTGTTGATAAGAAGACCTTGCAGGCTGCTTTGGATTGGGCTTGTGGGCCAGGGAGAGCAAATTGCTCGGAAATTCAGCCAGGGGAGAGCTGTTATCAGCCTAGTGATGTGAAGAACCATGCTTCATATGCATTCGATAGCTACTACCAGAAGTCGGGGAAGGCTGTGGGTTCTTGTGATTTCAAGGGAGTGGCCATGATCACCACCTCTGATCCAAGTAAGTGCAGTAGTCCCAACCAAAAGTATCAACTTTTCATTGCATTTTCAACAAAAAATTAGCTTACAGAATACTAAATTAGTTGTAATAATAATATTCTTGAAATAATAGTCGTAAATGGGATTCCTTTGTTTGTCCTAATCATTGTTTATAATTAGGTGTCCGAGCTTTTGAGCTAGCTTAATTATGCTTAATTAGTTTGAAAGTTTAATGGCCTTTTTAGAGTGTGGTACGATATTTAGAATCCCTCAATAGTTGGGTGCTTCTCATACATGGAAGATCTGTGGTGCCCACTCCTTGGATATTTAAGACTTTGAAATAGCGAATTTTGATCTCCTTTCCCAGATTCCCTACAGTAAATAGAGTTCCATCATTGTACAGATATAAGCACTTACTTATGTTTATGATATTGTATATTAAGTGTATAATTTATCTGTTATTACCTATTCAAATCTTAGATAACCAATTTGATGGAGAATAAACTTTATAGCATGTCCTACTAACTTTAGCAAGGAAGTATGGGGCTCCACCAGTTGTTTGTCTTTACTTCAGTCTTACTGTGAATTCTCATCTGAGTTGTTTTTCCTTTG